AGTTTGTGTTGTAGCGCCGAGCGTTGGTGGACGGGGAGGCTGCCCCAGCCCTGCCCGCCCGCCCGGGATACCGCAGGAGCCCCGGGAGCGTGTCTGGGGCTGGAGGGATGGGCTGCGGTGACACCCGGCCCCGGAGACCCCTGTGGCTACAGGAACACCCCGCCCTGCCCTCGCCGCCCGGTCCCCGCTGTGTCTGGGCCGGTGTTTGTGCTCCCGAAGCCGTTCGGCACCGGCTCCGGGGCAGCGATGGCCTCGCACCTTGGGCTGTGTGAGCGCTCTTATCTTCTACCAGCCTGCTCCACCTTACCTATTTCTACCTGTACTGTCAGCAAAAACCTCTCTGCTCATAAAGTTTTACGCCTTAGCTCTTTTTCTCACTCATGTTTTGCCGTCCTCTAATGAATTACTGACTGCTCTACTTTTTCTTTTTTTTCTTTTTTTTCTTTTTTTTTTTCTGAAACAACTTTTTAAAAGCCTAAGAAAGCTGGCTGTTGCTGTGTCATCAGAAACTCTTGTTTTACTGCCAAATTCTGATTTTGACTCCAGCAGAGAGTCTGAGGTCCAGTGGGCAGCCCCAGGGGTCGTTGTTCTGGGTCTCTCTCATATTCATAGGGGTCAGAATTTGGCCATTCCCTTTCTAGCCAAAAGGAGTTGGAAGGCTCTCCTTCTCCAATATGGGCTGGTAGAAGTTATTGTAACTTTACCCTTCTTGCAGCTTCCATTTCTGAACTAATCATCTGTCTATACAGATTGTCTCGTTATTTTAATCTCTATGCAATTCCATAAAGGTTTACTGTGCTTACTTTAAAACACCATTTATGTCTGCTGTGATCAGTCTGGGGGTGTTTTCTGTAACACTTTCCAGCAAGAGTGGGTGTTCTGAACAACATTTACTTTAGTTTTCATACTTCTAATTTTAATGATAAATGATGACCTTTTCATTTCTCTCCTCCTGCACAATCTTTTGTTTAAATGTTTCTCTATAAAGTTGTATACAATGTTAGATTATATTTCTATCAGACACAGAATTGAGATTTTCTCCTTTTGCAACCCATGGCAAATCTTTGCAAGGTCTGTTGTTGAAACTTATTTTGTGGGTTTGTGGTCAGCAACATATTTTGTTTTCTGAATGTGCTATCCAAGCTTGAAAACTTGATGCTTTCACATCCCTTTCATCTTAGGTTCACCAGTTGATAGAAGATGTTTATGAGGATCCTGGGGTCTTTATTCTACAGGTTAAACAGCATTTCTGCATTGTATTGTGCAGACTGATTACATGCATTTGATGTTGTACCCTTCCATGTCAAAGTTCCAAATTCAACAATATATATGTACTTTTGGCTCAAAAAGCACAAACAGGTCTTTTTGTCTGATTTGTTGCATGAACTGAATAAAGGCTGCTTGCATACTGAACAAATACAGACAAAATATACCAACTCTTATCTGACAAAAATCTTGATGTAACTTATGTTTTCTGTAACATTGGCTCGATCCTGCAAAGCATTAGGCAGTTTGGCCCACGATTAGCAAATCATTAAGCACAGATCTGCATTTAAAACATCTGAGTCATCCTAACGACTTTAGCAGTTAAAAATCTTAACTTTTAACGGTGAGGGTTCTGATGAGCAAGATAATTGTTTTATTTTTTTCTGTAAAAGCCCATGGTAAGGTTCACATGAGTAAAAACATTCATAAAAAGCCTTGATGAATGAGGAAATTAAAGTGGCTGCTTTTGAAACCAAAACTGTTCCCCTGTCATACTTAGATTCTTTAGTAAATATATAGTTATGTGCCAAGCCTGTTCTTTGAGGAAAAAGGGTGGTAGGGGATGGTACACTTTTTCTGCAAACGAGAAATTGCTTCAATGTTTTGTATTTAGTTTAGTCTCCCCAAATATAAATGAGAATGAAACTGGACCTGGAATTATAATCAGCATTGAATAGGCACTTTCAGAGTCACTTTCCTGAAGTCATCCCAGAGAGACTAGTTATAAACAGTGAGTGCTTAATTTCTGCACTTGCCTGGCTGGAGGTACCTTCTGGTAAAGCTGTCTGGGTTTAGAAAGCCTGTGAGAACTCTGCACCTTTTCTAAATGTAATGAGTTTATCTTCATTGCCTCATTACAAAACAAGCCAAACATATTATCTGACTTTAAAAGAAAGAAAGAAAGAAAAAAAAAGTGGGAAAATGCCTCTATACTATTTTTAAAAATCATATGTGAAAATAGTATTTTACAATAAAAAGAGATCAGTGCTGTAAACGAAAAAAATCCAATTTTTGTTTGAAAAATACATCACCTATGTAATTACAACAGAGTAAATAACCTTTAAAGCACTTTAGAAGTATTTTTGGTTGTGTTAATGTAGAGTTCTTGGTATATTGCCAGTTTCATTATTTTGTTTAGAAAGTCCCTTTTCTCTATTGTTTAAGTAGGCATTTCACATCCTATCCCTGGAGATAAAGTTTTCGGGGAAATGTGTTCATAAATAATGGAAATTACCAGAGACTGTTGTACAACACAGAAATAGGTTCATCTGGTTCATTTAAAACCATGAGAAGTTTAACACTGAAGAATCTGTTCCAGGTTTTCTCCTGCAGAAGCTTGGAGAAGGTTCAGGACCGAAATCTGAGTGTCACCAGGGGCTTAGGGAACAGCTGCCCAGTGAAGTGAAATCACTCAGAGGTGAAGCAGAACACAAGTGACTGAGGCACCACCAGTCCAGCTTCATCTGATCCTGAAGCTGGTTACTTCTGCAAATGCATTTTTCTGTTTAACAAAATTCTTTCTGATCACATCTGTAATTCTTGGCATAGCAACTCACCTGATGAGGCATTTAAACCCTCATTTTTGTCAGATCCCTAGTTCAATGTATCTCTGCAGAGAGAAGTGGAACTGATCTTTGAGACAAATACATCTTGAGTACCTTGCAGACTGAGACTTTGGGAGGTGTCCAAGGTCTGTTTGGGGGGGGAGGGGGGAATGTTACTATCTTTTTTTTGTATCTTCCCAAAGGGGTGAGCGTGTAGAAAGTGATGGGAGAAAGAAGGAAGAGGCTGTCTCCTGTCACTGTTCTATTGCCTTCTCCTTTTCCTGGTAGCAGACTAAAAATCCAGGTTAAAAAAGGTGCATTCAGCTCAGGCTGGGTTCAGGCTAGCTGGGCCTAAACAGAGCTTCTGGAATGGGGCAAAAAGTCAGCAAGTTGCTGGCAAGCTGCTCAAACCCAGCAGCTTCTGGGAACACAGGCAGTCATCCTAGGTGAATCGTGCCCCAGGCAGCAGCATATATAACAAAAGGGGGTTTGGGGTGTGCCAAGGCCCACACAGCTCAGACCAGCCCCTTATCACAACTACTTTACCTCAGGATTTTCCTCCCATTGCTGCAAGTTATTGCAGCCAAGCAGACAAACTCCTCCTGGCATGTAAAAACATGTAAAGAGGAGAAAGCTCCTGGGCCAGATGGTTTCACTTTGCCTCCTGCCTGGACACCTCTGCTGTGCCACAGAAAGGCAGACTGGCCACCAGACAGGGGCTACCACGTGTCCCACTCACTGCTGGCTGTGCATGAGAGGCCTGGGCTGCTGCACATGGCAATAACACCCAGGAATACTCCACTCAGCTCTGGGTCCTATTGCTCACCCACGTCAAACAGAACTTGCTGAGGGACTCGGCTGCGTTAGAAACGTGCTGATAACGTGGGAGTCCATTACAGAGATTTTATCCCCCACCTCAGTTAAGTCTGAAAAAAAGAGAGACTTCAAACAGGACAGGCTTAAAGGAATAGATATTGTATCCCAGCAAGAATTGTTTTTTCACCACTGATCAGTTTTTGGACCTACCTCAGCACCACATTGCAGAGATTCATCACTGGGTGCTCACTCATTCTGCTTCAGATTCAGCCTTTTTTAGGGACTTCTGGCAATAGTTACACTGGCTCAGGGAATACCTCAAAATGTTTGCATCTGACCTTTCTGAAAAATTTGCTTTGAAATATACATCTTCTATCAGTAAAAAGTCAAATCAAGAGAATTAAAAGTATGAAGTACATTGAACTGGTTAGTGCCTCTCTCAGGTTCAGAACTTACTCAAAGGAGCAGTGTTTATTAGGAGATGAAATACCATTACCTCAGGCTTTTGGGAAACACAAACTGATGCCTTGCATGTTTTGGTGGGGACAAACAAGGTGTCTGCCTGGCTGTGTTGGCCAAGTAATGTAATTGTTTTTCTTTCCAGGGTGTAGAAAGAAAGCGTGTGGTGATGCCTCTTTTGATGCAGCTCATAAATACATGTGTACTGGGAGTAACTGGGAATCAAAGTTAAAAAATCACTGCAGACAAGCTCCATGTGAATTCAGTATTCTAAAGATAACACAACTGAGCTGTGTTTACTTTCAGAAAGTTGTAACCTTCACAGATACCCTGATTCTAGAAGAAATACAAGCTTGTTCTATAAATGATAAGGAACCATCTAAAATAGATTGTAAGGTACTTCACAGACTTGTGAGAAGAAAATTAAATTATATTTTTGTTCTATTCATAACTTTTAGCATTCTGAGTTTATTGCTGTGAATGCACTCAAATGTCTTATATCAATGTGATATCAACTTGTCTTACTTCTACCCAGCTTTGACAACTTTGAAGACTGTGTAACCTATTTCTGGGGTGACAGCTGTGGTATTTAGAAAACTGTCCCAACCAAAATACACTTTCTTTTGTGTCTCCCCAATTTATAATCAATTTTACAAGATGGCTTAGATGGCTAGTCAGCCCAAAGTAGTATTGCCCACTTCTGTTTGCTCTGAACACTCAGGGGGAAGAGCAAATATTTTGAACAGCAGCAAATGCAATTGTCATTTATTTTTAGCAGTATCATCAGGGTCAAATAAGTTCAAAGGTTAAAATGCTTCCATCGTGAAACAGGATCACTCCAGATGAGTACTGAAGAATTTTGAGCCAGTTGCACACTGCAGTCAGCTTTGGAGGGCCTTTTAACCAAACTGAAAAATTTACTTCACGGGGTTGAAAAATCTGTTACAGGCCTTAAGTTACACACCAATACTGATTTGTTAAATCTGTGCTAGGAGTGTTGTACCTTCACATGTTTGCTAACAGCAAGCAAAACCCATCAGAAAGAGATTTCCAAGGAGAACATCATCCCTTTCTTATCTCTACCCGCAGTGGGTGCCAGTTAGCTCCGTGTTGCTCTGCGCAAGAGCTAACCATATAAGCACGATAGAAGGATCGCTGTCTTATCACACACAGGAGTTAACATTTATTATTGCCATATCCAAAGTCCAGGTTCCGTCCTGCACACTGCAAACTCAGCAGAGCAGAGCTGAGTGTGTGTGTGCCAGCTGGCCTCTGACCTCCTGCGTGTTGGGTTGCCTTCGGCGCACGTCCCTCCTTCCCCAGCACTGCGAGGATCAGGATGTTGCTGGCCTGTCTTTGATCTAACAAAGAGGAAATAACAGCAACTCCCTGAGTGGGTGTCAGAACAATCCCCTGTTTTGCAGCACTGCCCAGCCATCAAAAGTACCTTACTGCATGCAGAGCAATGGCTCTGGATTATATTTTGGTTTGAGGCTTGTTGCTTCTCTTTCTGATCTCAAGGCTGCGTACGATAATTGTCTATTATATGGTTGTCTATTTTTACCACCTTATTTGCATAATAAAAGCAATTACCTCTACCTACAAATCTGTTTGTAGATCCCTCAAATTACCACTGCCCTAGTGTCACTGCTGCCCAGCTGTTATTTATGCAGCCCAGGTGCCTCACACACCTTACCTGTGAGCAGTAGGCAGTCACTAGGTCAACAACATTTTCAGGCAGCCCAGCATCCTTACACATTTACAGACATTCATCCTGCTGCTAGACAACCACAATGAGCCCCTTAGCTCAGCTCAGTCTACTTCAACTCAACAATTACTACCCATCCAGCCAAATTTTGTGTTGCTGCTTTTTGTCACAAACACTGTGCACAGTCACCACCAGTACCTTTGCTTCCACCTCTGTGCCTTTTGTAGCCACTTACTGCTGAGCTATTTCCACATCTTCAATTTTTCAGCTTGCTCCTGAAAGACACAGTTGATTGCCAAAGGGCAAGCTAAATAGTAAGACTACTGATGTTATTTTCTCAAGGATGGTGAAGCTGCAAGCAGAAAGGTGTTATTACAGTAAAAAAATAAGTATCCAAATAAAGACATACAAGGTAGAGTTCTCAGTCACTTGTATTACTTGGCAAATAGCATTATTTCTCAGCCTGGCTAAGAGCAAACCCTCTCTGGGATAAGCACTGTGTACAAAGTGATGTTTTCCTAATGCTAGAGGTATGAGAAAGGAGAGCAGCACTGTAACAATTAATTGTTCACAGGGAAAACTAATCCAAAAGAGGAATGAGATATAGAACTTGCTACTCCCAGCTTATCCTTTAGACCCAACTCCACCAGTTAGCAGTCAAAAATTCTAACTATACCTGTTTTGACAGAAAATGTGCTGGCAAAAAATGTGTGCTCACAGTGCATCAGCTTCCAGCAAACGAGAGCAATGTGGGAGCATTTGCTGGTGTGAGCTCTGCTCTTGTAAAGGTTGGCAGAATCCTTTAAGGATAACCAGCTTCACCAAACACAGTTGCCAGGCTGGAGCTGTAGAATATGTAGAATTTAGGGCTAGAGAAGAGGTAAAAGCATTTCTTATGGTGAACATCTGCTCTTACCTCTCTCTTGCAAAGTAAATTTAATTAAGACAATCTCAGGTAACGGAGGATATAAGAGCAGGTAAAAAACCCCAAATGCTTATTTTACTTACCCAGAAGAACAAGGAGGAACAAGAATTGCCATTTTTGTTTTGCTCTGTATCCTAACACATTTTGAAGGACAAAAAGCACTAAGAGCATTTCCCATTAAAAGTAATAGAGGGGAAAGTTACAGTTTTTGAAAGCATGTGAAGTAATCTCCAAATCTATTACTCACTATGTATAACTAGCTACAAAACTGTATTTACCTAGACAGATACATAATGATAGTTTTCTTCTTCTGTGTAGTTCTATAAATCAACTGCTTCTCTGAAGAGTGCTTGAAGCCCTTACCTATTCAGATCCCAACCAGTACAGCAGGAATTATAATGCCTTATTCCTGTATAAGGTTGTGATTTCATCCTCAAATGCTCTCTACTGGAATAGTTCGCTGTCACATTTTAGAAGCAAAATCTTCCCTTTCCATCATCAGCAGCTCCAAGAGACTACACTAGGCAGACCAAAACAATTAGCTTACTACAGACAGTCACAACTGTGTGTTTTGTAATTGAACTTCTGCTGATGATCACTAAGTCTTTCTCTTTGAGCAGTCTTGCCAGTGCTCAGCCAGTCTGTAAGTGACTCGCCCCTCACTGCAGCCAACTGCATGGCAACATCAGGTTGATTCTCCTGCTTTCACAGCACCAAGAGAATCAACTCCACTGCCTGTGGAACCTTTCCTTTCCCAGGGAAGGCTTTGTGTTCAGTATTTGCTTTTTCTCTAGAAGCCAAACATTGTTGTTGGGAAATAACATGCCCCAGATGTGTTTCATGAAAGATGATTTGGCAGTTGTTGACTAAAAAGCTGTTGAAAGCTCTGGGCAACAAGTATCAAGCACCTTGTTCTTAGCACGCAGAGCATTAGAGATAATCTTTTCCAGATAGGTTCTGTGGTGCTCCAGCTTCTGTGGGTTGCCACTCACCTCTCTGGAAAGGAGTGCTTTGGACAGGAGCCGGCAGTGCCCGAACACAGGTGACCGACCCCCTCTAGTGGCACAAGGACGGGGGAGGCAGCTCTGCTCGGCAGCGGCGGCAGGGATGAGCTCACAGTGACCGCTAAGGGATGACCAGCACAACAGCTAAAGTACCAAATGCACTTTAATGAGTTCCACATTTTTGTTCCCAGAAGGAATTTATACCGTGTCAGTACATTAGGCAGGTACATAACTTCTCCTCAACTACAGGCGTGAGGAGAACTGACTATGACACATTAGGTATCTAAAGTTACTCTTAGAAACCAGTTTTCTACATTATTAGAAATAAGGCAGGTTTCAGGCGTGCATGTAGTTGATTTATCCAGTCCTCAGATGCCATATTTGCCCTTTAGTTCTTCCACTTTTGCTATGTAAGCTTTCATTGCATCTTCTTTGGACATTCCTGAGGGACAGAACACAGGAAGCAGTCAGATACCTTTCAAAGATTAAGCTGCCTTTTACAAGTCACAACTGCTTGCTATAGCCATGCCACCAGAGCCAAAGAGCCAGGAAGGTCACTTGGCTGTGAATCCACTGCTGAAGTTTTAAACAAATGTATTCCAATAGTCACGAAAAAAAATGTTTCCAAGCAAAGTTGTTTTTGCACAGACAGCAACCGAGCAGTGTATTAGTTCTGTTAGTGTCACTGACAATTATTACAGGAAAGCTATTCTTTAAAACAAGAGACAAAAAGACCTATTGACATAGATTAGACCACTTGTTTGGCTCCTCATTTAGAGCTGGGAGCTCAGTTGTTTCTTCCAAAGCTTTCCTAGCTGGAAGATGCTCAACAGCTGGAGGGAGAGCTCAGTTTTTGGGGTACTAGGCTGGGACCAAGAAAGCAAACTGAGATTTCTGCTGCTGTTCCTCCTGTTTATTTAACATCTTAGGCCAGCTGGGTATTTTGCACCCTACTTCCCTTTCACACAGGCCATATTTTTCAGGATTATTTTTGTCTTGGAGAGGTAATTCAAGTTTATTATCATGGCATTCTGAACTTCTAGAACTCTTGTATCAAAATGCAACACCGTTCTGTTTCTTGCTGAACTACATGCATCTTTCTGATTAGCTTGCCAGTGGTAATTTTATTCATTTATTTAATCAGACACATACCTTTCAATGCACTCCAGGCATCCCACTTTGCTTTACCTTTGAAGTCCAGCATGCCAGGGCGCTCTGAGAGAGACAGGATAAGCAGCAGGATTAGTTTGTGTGATCTGGCTGTAGTAATACCCACTTGAAGGCTTAGTAAGCTCTTAACCGTGAGTAAATACAAGGGCTCATCCCTGCAGCTGTTATTTGCTAACCTGTAGCCAGCAGATCACCTCAGGGGAATTTGTTGTTTGCTAACCTGTAGCCAGCAGATCACCTGAGGGGAATATGTTATAACATGGTTGGTGACAACAGAAATAGACTCTTTCAAATTCCCTTGATACAGCAGCATTTGAGCAGAAGAGCACCAACCATTGTGATTTGGTTTTGTTGTACTTTCTGAAGAGCCTGCTGTCACACAAAAGTTATCCAATTAAAGAACACTAGAGCTCTAACGTAAAGCTGAAATACCCTGAGGTCCATTACAGGCAGAGACACGAAAACAGACAGCTGTTTGTAGTAATATACAGCTTAGAACTCATTATCATCATGTATTTCTAACCTATAGTTCTGCATCTGCTTTTGGAAATGTTGAAAATCTGACTCACTTCACTGCAGGCTGTGATGTGGCCAAGTAGAAACTGAATGACATGTATACGGTTAATCTTTGTGTAAAGTCCTCTTTGTGGTTTTACTTCCTCTCTCTTTCTCTCCTTAAAGACAATTCTTAGAACTCACAAATGGATCTGGGCAGCTCCCATGGCACAGTGACCCGTAGCTCCAGTTGGCAGCTCCACTTCTCTGCAGCACAAACCTCACCAGTCACCCTCCCACAGGCTGCTTCTCCAGCCAACTCACGTTGGCTGCTGCCTCACAGGAGTGCAGGCACTTGCAGGAATGGTGGCATAGTCACAGCTCTGGAGCACCCTTTCAGCCTGTCAAGCACTAATAATGCTGAGGGGTCCAGCCACAGCAAAAGGATCGCATCTTAACCCCAAAGTCATTTCTTTACTCCCTCACGTTGCCAACTTTGGAAAAAGGAGATTAAATTACTTACCATTTCCTGCACGCTTCACTGCCAGCTTTTAAATCAAAGAACACTCAATAAATTTTGCCAGCTACTGGGTTAGGAGGCCAGCACTCCAAAGAAATGACCTTTTCCCTTTCTAATTCTAGCTACTACAGCATTACACAAGGTCGATAGAGACACGCTACACTTAAAACGTTATTCTAAAGGCTGAGCTGCCATGGACAGCACTGTAGCGAGAGCAGTAGCCACAAACATTTTGCACTGTGTACTTGCAGACGTATTTTTGGTACAGACTTTCTGAAATATATTTAATTGCAGCTCCTATAAAAGTTTTCTCCTCTACTGGTTTTGCTCTCCAGGACTATTTTAAGCAGCCAATCCACTCTAAATAAACTGTATGTGTCATCCCCTCTAGTGTGGCAATTCCACCCTTGTATCGTTTGCCTCGCTGTTTAAGTCTGTATAACCGAGAAGTGTTTGCATGAAAGCAGCACCCTTCGGCCTGAGCAGCTGCCAGAGGTCTCCAGAAATCCCAATGCCAATATTTGCACAGAGCACCCTCAGGCCCTCAGTGCGCGGTACAGATGGCGGCAGCCGGGTTTATGTAAAAAGCCCGAATTGCACAAGGCCTTATCGGGTCCGCCTGTGCCCTCCCGCACACAAATCCGTGCCAAGTCGGCACCGAGTCACTTGTGCTCAGCCGCGGGATTGAGGGAAGCGCTACGGGGACAGGCTTTGCCTCCCGAAGCGTCTCCGGCGGCACCTACCCGTGTTCACGTCGCCCACCGTGGCCTGTTTGTAGTGGCTGTAGATGTCCAGCATCTCCTGGTCCGTGGGCTGCGATTTCAGCTGCTTCACCTCCTCGGCAGCTTTCTGGAACGCGGCCTGGGGGAGAGGCGGCAGCGGGTGAGTGAGGGGAAGGTACCCGGAGCCCCCCAGGTCCCCCCGGCTCCCCGCAGCCCCGGCGCCCCCCGCACCTCGGTCATTGCAGCGAACACAGCGCGGTTCCGGGCCCCGCCGCTTCTGCCTCGCCACC